GGATTGCCAGTAAAATCACAGATCACACGCTCCTTTGGGACAGGGAGTGGGGCACCTCTGTGTGATGCACAAGAAACAACACGGGGTGGCGGGGCTAGACAGAAGACCAGTAAGGATCCTTATACTTACATAAACCCGTAAACAGATGGGATAAAATCCCAGGAGTTGAGGAGGAAGAAGGAGAGGCAGATGATCACCACCAGGCTGCACAGGTACAGGGCTGCATACTGCATGGTGTAGAGCCAAAAGCTTTTACTTTTCAGTTTTACTGGTATGAACTGACGCTGAAAATGAAATACAAGCAGGCAGATACCTCTCATCAGGTCAAAAGCCACAAGAAAGCCCGAGTGTTCAATACATCATTCTAAATTGGTGAAGGAAAGCATCAAACATGGGCACTATGGCACTGGAAAGAGCAGCTCTCAAGCACAATTTGCTTGATGTTCTTCACTCCGTCCAATTAAGTGATACACATGGCCTGGATTTCCAGAACCGCGCTTGAAAATACAGTGGCTAAGCTGGTCATTTCTGCTTGCAGCGAGTCAAGTCTCGTGCACACAGTGTAAGATTTACATGTGCCTCCGCACAGCTACACTTGGATCTCAGATATCTACAATACTGTACTGCTGCCTGCCTTCTACTGATGAACCTGCATCAACTGGGTGACCGAGAGCCCTGCTCCACGACCCACCGCCCTGTGATGCCAGGTCTCCACCACCGGGACTGGCACTCTTGCTCAGGGAAAGGGGATATCCAGCGGGTTCCTAAGCACAAAGGAGCCCCTTGAAAAGGTTGCCTCCTCAGACAAAGAGAACTGCTGCAGTCCTGCCATTGCCACATGTCCTGACAGGTCCACCATAAGCCCTTGTCACGTAACATGACATATGGGTATCCCACTCCAAGAGGTCCCCTGTCTGCATTTGTAAAGAGAAATATACAGGCAGGGGCAACGCCTTTGGGAACCGCTCAGAGTTCTGCAGCTCCAGGTCAGAGCTGTAGCTTTTCCATCTGGTACTAGGGTTTACACTGGCAGAAGGTGTACAGAGAGCCAGCTCTAACTGATGTGGGCTCTGTGTAAAGCACGCGCCCTTTTCTCACTTACAGGGTGTTTAATGCCACTTGTTGGAACAATGTAAGCAAGTTTACTGAGGGTTTTTGGCAGGACAGGTTGGAAAGTGCTGGAAGAAAAGCTATTTAATTCTGTACAAAGCATGCAGGAAAGTTCAGTTACAAATCTGGATGAAAAACACACTAGCATGATCCCCTTTACAAGCTGCAAATTAGGCATTCACATATCAAAGCACTCGTTGCTTGTGAACACAATGCTTGTACTTTACTGCCACTTTACTTTGATTAAAGTTAAAAGAGAACAAATGAGACCAAAATATAAAATACATAAAGTAAATGCTCCTAAAAATTATCAAACTGAAAAAGCAACACTGACTCTGCAGAAGTTCTTGTCTTGCAAAGAGTAATAATAATAAAATTTCTGAAAAAAAGACATTCTTGTCAGATAGTCAGAGAAAGAAAAGGGACTAGAATGGACTTTCCCTTCTCTTTCGAAGCTCAGATTTGAGAATAGGCTGTAATGAACCTGTAGTTAAAATTAACTATAAAAATCGTGAGGGAGACAAACAGAAGCAACCAAGAAAGAGTGGCAAAACACTCAACAGCAGGACTTTCAGAATGGCAAAAATAATAAAAATGATTACCGAGTGACCTGTGAACTGGGACAACAGTCCTCTGCTAGTGGCCACAGCCTCACTGTGCTCTCATATCAGAGTTAAGACTAGCAGGTGATGAATTTTCATCAGGTGCATTATAATTTGGACTCTCAGTTAAGTTTTTGTTTACAGCATCAGCACAAGAGCCAAGAGAGACCAGCGGGATGCACGGAGGCAAAGGGTGGATGAATCCGCTCACTAGCAAAGAGCTGCCTCAGCTTTAAACCCCACCCCTGGCTTCAGATGTGTGGCCAGGATCCTACTGGGCTAGTTTTGCCAGGAGCAGTGTCTGTCTGCTGAGGCACTCTGTACCCATGAATGACCAAAGTCAGCCCTGCCGGAATTCAGGGGTCCTGTTAATAGGGAAGGAGAAAGGACCTGGACAACCAGCCACTTTCACAAGCACGTGCCTTTTGCCATTAAACTCTGAATCAGCATTTCCAAGTTTGAGTGGTTCAAACGTACAGCTCCTCACTCCTCCTCTCCAGGTCTAAAATCCTCATTGCTATTCACACGACACAAAGAACAGCACTTATTTCGGGCAAGCTGAACACCGTCCAGTTCTGTAGATAACCTTCTGCTCCTTTCTCTCTGTGCACAGGCATCCCCACTGAAGCTCCAAACTTGCCGTGGCTTGAGAAGAGTCACTTTTTCTGAAAGTCAGGACTTGCCTGCCTCCCCTCTCAACAGCTAAGGACTGTCCCTGCACAGCTACAAGATAACAACAGGTACCAACAGTTAGAAATTGTCTACCTGTAGAAGGTAAAGGAGTGCTGGAGCAAACAGCGTGAGAGGGTAGAGCGACTGGTATGTTGCTAAGGCCAGGAACACAGCACTGAGGAAGGCACTACCTGCAAAGGAAAAAAAAAATAAATGTTTATTTGCAAGGAAGATTTAGTGTAAACAGCCTTATAGACAGGAGGCCCAAATGGGAAGAAACGCATAACCCTCTGCAAGGGCTTTACAAAGATCTGAACACCACTTAAAGGCATTTTCAGCAGATTGTGTCTGGAGAGTGCCCTTTTCTTAACTACATTTTGAACAGAGAATGACCCATACCAAGGTGATTCTCCCACGAGAAAAAAACGCTGACTGGTTTATATCTCCTATCATTCACACACAGAAATTCAGTCTATATATAGGCCATGCTGCCTGCTGTTTATGCATGGGAATGCTTTCACTGAAGTCACATCTGCATGGAACAGCTGTCACACTCATCCTGGGCATGCTGGATAACCCCCCCACCAGAACGTGTTGGGGCCCTCAGCCAAGCGCTGTGAAAGTGAGCAAGCCAGAGTCTGCAGCAGAAGCAATGAAGTGGTGTTACCCCCATGTTAGATACCAAAACTGAGGCATAGAATGGATTAGCACAGCCTTTCCAAGTGGTCTTACAAATAAATGCCTTTATTGAGGAAGCTTTATTTGAGGTGTCTCAAGTTGAGCTAAGTGCTGAGTGCTCACATTGCCCAACTACGAACACCAGAAATCAAGTCCAAAAAGTCCCAGGTTAAACAATGAAAATACCAGCACCCAGTGCAGTAGCCTGGTTATAGCTTTCAGCCTCATGTCACTTCATGGAAGCCATCTGTAAAAATACAGCTTAGACAGCAAGAATCCTGAATTGGTGCACTGGACTAATCATCATCCTACAGACATCCAGCACTTGGTAAGCTTCTCGCTGCTTCCACCTCTTGAAAGAGAAAACACTGGGTTACCTGGTCATGAGCCTTCTCCCCTCTTCAGCTACACTCTCCTGGACAGAAACCTCCCTACCCTTCTGCACAGATCTAAGGAACTTTTAAATCAAACTCCCTCCTGCCTCAATTAGTCAGTACACGGAGTAAAACTTTCTTTCAGAAACACTACTAAAACCAACCTACATCAGCTTTCTTCACAATGTCTGGGTCTGGGCAGTGCTGGAGACAAGACCACCTTTCCTCTGATCCAGCATAAAACCCCTGAACCTTACGTGACCTATCACACATGCTAAAAGGCTTTAGCATGAGAAGCAGGAACCTGGCATTGTGCACAAAATGAATGAAACAGCTACTCGGTCACAGTCTTTTCAGCTGTGCCGGCACAGGTCTTTGGGTGCTGTTTCTGCCTCCCCAAAGCTCAGTTAGCTCATTTCACACTGAGGTTACAACTGTGAGTGAAAGCCAAATAATAGCTGCAGGCAACTGCTTGCTTTTGAATAAAGGTTCAAAGATACACTTTGAAAATGAATGGCATACAGCAGTTGAAGTGCATATTCATGTACCAAAGAGAGAGCAGCAAAACATTATGTCCTCCCACACACAGGCACGCATTTCTTCATAAACAGAAAACTGTTGTTCAAAGTCATCCTGGAGAAGGAGTCCATTTTTAGAGATGAAACACCTAGGTACGCTGAGATGAAAGCAAGCTCTGACCTGACTACAAAGCCTCTTGATCTCTTGTGACTTCAGGCAGAACTCTGACCTTGCGCCAGCCCCCGTTTCTGATGTGTTTCACCGAGACCTTTGTAGCAATCATATCTGTAAAGTTCCACCTTGATTTAATTTCTGCTAATTTCCTAGTCTTTACAGAAAGACATAACAAACCAGTTTTTCTTCATCACGTTACCTTTTATTGTAGCTAAAATGAAGAACGCAGTGACAGTATTGTTGATGGCACAGGTGGACTTTGCCACACAAGACATCACAGTGTAGGGGTTTAACAGATAGCTGAAAAAGAGCAAAGCTCGAGTTACACTCACGCCATTCAACAGAGATACCATCTAATTAAGTTAAAGAGACATTCAAAGGGAAAAACAGATGCAGTTTGCCATTTCTTTTTCTTTATTTACATTTGATCCTCTCATCATCAGATTAATTCAGCTGACGAGGTTCTTTAGTCTGGAGCAAAAAACCAGACCCTTGGATTGTAGCCTTGGACACAGTGGCCACAGGAGCACATTGGAGAAAAGGAGATGGCTGGGACAAGGTCTAAAATGCAAGTTCTAGCCTCGAAAATGACTACCAAAAGTGTTCCTTGCTTTGCAGAAACTTTGTGCATTTATTCAGTCAGGCCTAGGAATATTGGGTCCAAGGTAAACTCCTTCTGCTACTCACATCTACTGACTCTGAGAAAGTAACAAAACCAAGGAGAAAGCAAGATGGATACAAATCCTGGAACATTAGCAGAGTTTCCCCCCTGATCCAACTGCACCTGCACACTCCTGCTATGGCAGAGCAATCATTTATGTTCATCATGACATGATCTGAGAGCAAAACCTGCCAGCTATGGAAATCTAGAATATTTTAACTGGAATTATGGAAAGACAGCAAACTTGGAACATCTTTACCTTCCAGAACGCAGCCACACTTTACTTAGGAAAGATGCTAGCTCCTTTTGGAAATGAGACTTACAACAACCGCAAAGGGACAGAAAAGCATTTGGAAGGATTACCAATACAATAAGCAAGATAAGGTATCGATCGGCCTTGCTAGTAACTAAACCCATCATCAGAGTGGGCAGGGCTGATGACTTCCTAATTATCGCTTTACATAAACGCTTTTCCCACTTCTCCGAGTCCCAGTCTGGCTTTTCTCTGTGTTTCCAGAGAGACAGCCTACGGCAGGATAGGCACAACTTAATGCCAGTTTGCTGTGGTAATGTGCAACAGCGTTAAATACAAAACAGTCTGCAATTTACAGACTCCACCTTCCTCGCCCTGGGGAATTTACCATTTTAGAAAATTCATCTGAAAATAAGAAAAAATAACAACTCATCTAATGGAAAATTCTCTCTGACACGGAATAATTCAGGTAATAGTTTATTCACTTCAGAACCCAAATAAAAAATAATTCTTTGACATTAAGTAGCTTGCCTGTATATTATTTATTTTAGCTGAGGCCTTCTGAAATTAAAAAAATGTTCAGTATAGAGAGGAACACCATGACGTTGTTGAGATGACAACCTGAAAATATCTTTGAATTATTATGAGCAATTCTGGGATACCCAAGTCGTGCTATTCAGCAAACATTTTGTTTGACTGCTCGAAAATTCTCCTAACTTTTCTGAAAAGACACCTGAGACACTGAGGAGGCATAAAATCAGTTCTGATGACATTAGCAGACAGGCAAAACAAATTGGAATGTGGTCTGTGCATCCTGGCTACCAAATGAATGACCTTATACTGTTGAGCCTGTCTTAGGGGGTCTGAGCGAATGTACTTGTTGGCAACAAACATCTGGAAAAGCATCTGCTTTTCACTTTCAAACCGAGTACTCAGAGCTGGAGGGATTTTTACGTGTAACAGGGAATTCAAAATTTTGGGGGAAGGAGAGGGGAGAGAATCTTCAACAAATGTTGAAGCCCTAAATCAGACAAATAAAACTCCAAAGGAGCTGAGGAACCAAAGCAGCCTACAAGAAGCAATACTTACAATAGTGCTACCTTGAGGGGGATGTAGTGCATCTCCATGGGCGTCCGGATAAGTTCAGCCACATCTGGCGCGTATTTATCCAGTTCTATTAGGAGCTTTTGCTTTTTGAACTGAACAAGGGAGAATGACCAAAGACTGTCAGATAAGGAAAGTCATTATTTGAGCAAAGTCATTATTTCTTACTACTCAGGATTTCCATTACTGGGGAACAGTAGATATGAGCCCCAGGCATGAGCCAAAACTCACATTATGCAGGTGTTGTACAAACAGAACAAAAGTCCCCTCTCTTTTCCCAAATACTTAACGACTGGAGTGGAAGTCACAAGAAAGCTGATGATCCCTACTTAAGGGAACTTCCTTAATTACCTGTGTCTAACTCTTGACACAGCTGACAGTGAATTCAGCGCTAGAGTTTAATACCTTCAACCTTCCTAGAGCTCGCCAATGAAAAGTTGACTTTACGAATTCACTGCTCAGCACACGAGCCACTAAAAAACCAAGTCACAGAAGTTATGTGCTCTTTCTTACTTTGAAGATGGACAACTCTATGCCATATCTCCCTTAGGGACCCAAGATCTCTCTCTTTGATCTCTCTTGTTCTATGATGCTCTCTATGGAGACAAAAGAGAAATCTGAATTATGAACCTACTGCACTATGTCACGGTGAGCCAGAAGGAGGGAGATGCTGGCAATAAATTCTCAACGAGCAAAGTAACTCACACACAGGGTTTTTATACGTCTGCAGTTCTATCACAAGTTATTTCTCCAGCCTCAAAGTCAGAGGACAAGGAGCAAGTATGTAGCTGGGTGGGAGACCACACAGATGCTGTAGAAAATGCAGCCTCTCTGTCCATGTTGGCACTGAATCACTGCCCCACTGGGATGGCAGAGAGCTCAGCATCACTTAGGCAAAGTGTTCTTTGAGCTACTTGTGAGAGAGAGCTGGGAGGAATCACTCACCTCGGAATACATGTACTCATAATTTGAAGGGAACAAGTAATATTTGGTGTCAGACTTTCACCTTGCTCAGTAGAATGATTTATGTCACCTCAGCATCCTTGGAAGGTTTATTCCTTCCGTTACACGTTTCCAGCCTGTGTATTAACTCACGCTGTGTGCAAACACAAACCGTGGTCAGGGTGAACGTTCCAGGCTCCAGCTACAAAACGCACAGGAGATTGTGGCAGCAGCAGAGGTGAGAAAAGGGAGCACTCAAGTCTTGCCAAAAGTCTTGCCAAATCCATGGTCCAGTAATTAAATTCTGCATACTGCAAACTGCCACAACAACTGAAGGTGGGCTTTCAGTACACATTTCAAAATCTCACATCCCATCTTGTGTACCATGACCCTGGACTTGTCTGCATTTCATTAGCTATCGTATTCTCACAAATCCCTCACATTCTTTACACTCTGTTTGGATTAAGGAATCTACACTGCTGTGATCATCATTCAAGTGCAGTGCAGTAGCTACGGATGTTAATCCGTTTCATACCATAATACTGTCACAAGAAAACTTAAAATACCTCCACTGTTCCCCACATTCAGACCCCGTGTTTACTGGTCACCCAGACATGATCAGATTCACTGCAATGAGGGCTGGGTGGTACTGCATCCTCTGGTGTGTGTTTTCTTTGGTACAAGTTATTTATACTTGCTGGGAGAAGAGGACCAGCAACACTGGCAAGTCCGCTTACCACAACTTTGTTGAAGTCGTGAATGGCCAAGTAGAGGGCGACAGCAGTCAGCACATCAGTTATCTAAAAAAGCAAGGCACAGATAGACTGACTGTAAGCAAAATAAACAAAAGTAGAAGATATTGGACAGTACTGCAATGCTGAATAAGGGCTCTGATCTGACTCAGCTCAAGAGAGTAGACAACAAGCTTTAAGGACACTAGATTGCTGATCTGTTTGTACATTGTGCTCGCACACCACCGCTTAAGCTTGAAGCAGTGAGCCATATCAAAGATACTAATATTTACAAAACGAAAGAATGGGGAATTATGGGGAAGGAAGTAGGTAAGGTCAATAAAATGACTGCTCTAATCAGAGCACAGGCAACACTGGGGCAGTGTCCAGCTGGCTAAACCCACTTGTCCATTAATCCAGCATGACAGTGCCTTGAGCTGTCCCCAGCTTCCCAGGCAGCAGTACCGTCACCTGAACAGTCAGCCCGAGCAAGCAGGTGGCTGTTGGCTCTGCATGAGACCTGCCCAGTGGGGATCTGGGGAGAGAGGCTCCACCAGGAGGCACGTGCAGCCAGCTGTATCATTTCTCTCCTGAATCATGCGGAACTCAGAGAACAGTTTGCAAGAGGCATTTGGAGGGCTAACCCGTCGGTGGGCTCTTTGAGGCCTGGGACTTGGCAGCAGGTTTTAGTGAGAAACACTGCAGTGGAGGGATTAGGCTGGAGGGACAAAATATTCTGATGTTTAAGAGGTAACCTGTGAGATCTGAAACCAAATGCCAACTTCTGTCCCTCTGCAGGGATACTTATCCCATCAAGAACTTGCAAAAAAGGAGCATGTACAACAAAGCCCGAACGAGGGTTTGTACAGGCAAAGCTGCCTTCCTAACTAAACTGTGAGCTCAGTGGGAATCTGAACTACAGGGAGGCTGAAGGCTCCCGATTCTGGCAGGAATAAAAGCAAAGTCATACTCAGCATTTCACAGAACAGGACCTTTCAAGAGGAGCTTTCCAGGAGCGCTTACCATAAACACCAGTTCAGCATATTCGATCAGGAAGTGGAAGAGATAGATTATCAGCGGGGTCTAAAAGAGAGCAGAAGGGAAACCCATGTCAAACACTGCCAGATGAAACAACTGGCGATTTGGTGAGAAAAGCAGAGCAGCACCATGAAAGACAGCAGAAGGCGATTTTCCTCACCCTCTTCTATCAGGCTGTCATGTCAGAGTGGAGTGATTAAACGAAGCACACTCATGGGCCTTTTTCCTCACAAAGCTCTCACTATGCTTTATAAAAGACACCATCGACTTTGAAAATTATATTCTGTTCCAACTCTTCAATTCTACTTGTGCAGCAGTAGAGTTACAACAGAAAGCACATAAAGAACAGCTTTAGAAAATAATTTTTTTTCTAGAGAATCAATTTTTTCAGGTTGTTTGCAGGTACTTTTGAAAGTATTTCCTACATCTATATTTCCTACCTAGCTGGTTTCATCATTTAGCCTATTGCTTTATAAAAGACTCATCTAAACAACAAGAAGAAAGCGTGTTAAAAACATAAGGCAGCAGGACAGCAGCCTTATCAACCTCTTACTCCCACAGCTTTTCCCTTCTGAGGTAGGAGGAAGAGCATGTTTCTGAATTATTCCTTGGACAGAAAAGCTTCATCTGGAAGTACTGTATATTTTACGGTGTAAATTCAGTCTTCACTGTGAGAAAACATATTTCTTTTGAAATACTTTACAAGTAATGCGATGGTATAAATAAGCACGTGAAAATATTTCACAGTCTGGGAGAAAACTGCGTTTGAAGGAGAATTTATTGAAGTGAAACAAGTTTTCAGAGGTACACAGAGTACCTGCCTCAACCCTAGGTGACACTGTGTACGAGTGTCCTTCACAGCAGCAAGACCACTCAAAGGCACAGAAACTCTGCAGGTGCTTCAGCATTCAGAGGAATGAGGTGTTTTCAAGATGAGCAATAAAAGCACTGCATTCTTGTGCTAATGTTACTATTTCTGCAAATGCAGAAACTCAAGGTGCAGACTCCAGTACAGACTCACGACGACACTGCCTCTCCCTGCTCAGGCCTCTGCTGACAGAAACATCTGGATGCAAACAGAGTATTTTACTTATTACAGACTTCCCCTATTTCAGACTCTCCTTGTGCAGTAATAAACATAACGAGCTATTCCATAACAAACTGCACATCCTCATTGCGCTAGTCACTGCGCATACACCTGCTGCACAGACACCTCCATGGCTCCAAGTTCCCTGAAGTCTCTGGGAAAAGACAGGTCCCCAGCCTTTGCCAGTCCGTCAGCAGTAAGGCTAAGGAACAAGCCACTTGTGTATTGCATTTGAAACAAAGCGTGCATACTGACCTCATGAAAAACAGCTCCAGAATACGGTGAGACCCCTAAATCCAGCAGGGCTAATCCTTCGACCACTGAAACACACAAAACGCCCCCGTTAGAACCCTGCATTGTGGGAAGAGAAAAATCTCACGGTGGTAGAACTACAGTTTTTAAAACACCCATGCTCATAAGAATCTCGCGCTGAATCGCCCTCTGAATGGGTGACACAAAATCTCACAGATCCAACAACCAGCTGGAATTGACTGTTTTCTTACTTCTGCCACATCAGTTTCTTCAGTACCTGAAAGGTCAGCTGCAATCTATTGATTTGTTTCAGCTAAAAATGTTCTAGCTGACATGTTCTGCACTTAACTACGCTTAAATCGCATGTATGACACTTAGTGATTTTCAGTCACCTTTGATGCGATACATGGTATCAACACTGAAGAAGGCCTTAATTCTAAGAGGACAAATCATGACATAATATATACTTTGAACTGCTTTGCTTAATGAGATGTAGAGAGATCTGAAATGCCCAAAACCACAGTAAAGGAGCAGGAATTAATACATATTACCAGACAAGCTAAAAGCTTTACCTGTTATTGAAACTCACTGACATTTTGCAGCCTTAACTCAGATCCTTTGCAATCACATCATCGCAGCTTGCACTGCAATGCACACACGCCTTTTTCCATAGGATCGCCACCTTACTGAGCACCAGGGGTCCCTGGGGTTTGAGCAGCGTATGCCCTGAAAGCAGCTATGGGAAACGGGCCCATTTGTTCCAGGGGAAATGAGGCAGGAGACCACAGAGAGCAACAAGAGGTTCTCAGCTCAGCGATATGCTGGGTGAAGCAGATTCTGTCTCTGCCACCAAGTTCCCATACGATGACAGGCCAGGCCGGACCTCTCAAGGTGATCCTAACTGTGCTTCTTGCTCTCTAGATGCTTACCTTGACACTCCAAGGTAAGATTTAAAAAGCACCCATTACTGCAAGGGAATTTTTGGGAGCTCTACTTTGACACTGTGAAGCGTGAAGTGCAACATGCTGTGGAGCAGAGGCCTTAGGTCATCAAATGCATTCATGCTTTTGACCTTTATTTCACTGTGCCACCATTTCCCACCCCAAAACTGCAAATCATTTTACCTGCATAATAACTGGATATTATTTTCCCAAAGGCCTGTCTTTAAAATAAATTAAGGCTCCTGATGGGCTCAGATGCCATAGAGGCAAATGCCACCGAAAAGCCTCGACTAAGCTGTATCTCAGTCTTCAGAGGAGAATTTGAATTGCGTTGGTACAAACATGCGGGGCCACAAACCAAGCAAGGGAAACGGCGCACGGGTCTGCATGAACCTGAGTACCATGCAGCAAGGCAGCGCTTGTGCACTTTAAAGCGTCCCGAAAGCGGCTCAGGGCTGCCGAAACCACGCATTCGGGCCCAGATTTTGTCACTCTTCCATCTTCCACTCATCTGTGGCACAATCGGTTTGCACCAGTGCGACCGACCCAGCTGCACGCAACCCCCGCCCGCCGCCCCTCG